ATTTGTGGGCCGAAATTTCCTTTCTCAAATGGGCCTTGTAACACATTAATAATCTTGGGCTTGTAACTTCCAGACTTGATATTCTCTTGGGCTAAACCATTTCATATAAGATTATTAAATTCACTCTTCATCCTTTTACTTCTAGCTCAAGTCATTGGGCCTCCAATGTTGAATAATGGATCTTGAGCCACTCCTTGAGCTTGTACAGTATTTGGAACCCGAACACCTTGATCATCTTGGACTTGATTATCATGGATGTTCACATCAAAAAGTAAGCCCGTGACACTTACTTATTAATGAGTAATATGGGTACAAGTCGGGGTTAAGTTTAGGATCGGGAAGTGTTAAGTTTATACTTAGGTTATCATTGTCTAGCCCGCCACCCGAAGTCGAAGGAACCCTTTTAGGCGACTTCTCAGGGCTTACCCTGGCATCACCTACACGTGCTAAAACTTCCTACTTGAATAACCATAACTATATTAACAGGGTTGTTGAGTGCGAATGGTCAAATAAACAAATAGAAACTTTCATTAAAACTTAGAAAAATACAGGGAATCAGACAAAACAAGATGCCTCTACGCATCGACCCGAATCCCTATACACAATCCTAAAGATCTACTGATTGTTAACCTCATCTTCAACATTGAACTCAGAGTTGCTGAATTCCGAGTTATTGGTCCCTGACGCGGTCGACCTACTTGTGTCTCCTGATAGCTGGCCACCCTCCAAGGACTCCCTTCTCTGACGAGCCATTAACACCTCTTCCTTGTCCGGACCCAGAGGGGTTGAGACGGGAGATCCGACGCCGTCTGGCAACTTGTATAGGAACAAAGGTGGCTAAGCTATCTGTAGAAGATCCTTGGGAGAAGTGATGCTCGGGCAAATCTTACATATCTCCTCAAAGAATTTCTTTCTGCTCAGATCCGCGTCCCTAAAGAACTTTCGGGGTTTGTGACACAGGCGGATCTGTGAGGTCGCTCCATCCATGAACTCGTCCGCATACTTGTCCACCAAGGCGTGAACATTTCCTCCTTCATGTAGGGCATCCCCTACCAACTTCGCGTGCTACCTCATTTCCATCTCGATCACTAGAGTCATGATCTGGTTGACCCCTCTAGCAAATGCCTGAGAATTGAGGTAAACCATCAAAGCAGCTAATATGTACTCATGGAGGTCCGACTTCAAGACCATCGACTCCCTCAACTTAGCCATCGTGGCCACCACGGCTTTGGCCGTCATTGTCTCCTCGACTTTTGCCATTGCTTCCTTGTGGGCCTTCGATTGATCGTCCAATTTTTTCTTTAGGGGCTGAGCTTGTTTCTTCCAGTTCGACCTCTCATCTTGCAGCCGGTCGATCTCCGCCTTTGCCTTTTTAAGCTCGTCCGTCTTCTCCGCTACGGCTTTCTCATTTGCCGTCACCAAGCCATCCAAGTTCCTGGCAAGCTGGCCAAATGTGGCCACGGCCTGAAGAGACTAACAAAGGACCCTGATTAAGAAAAATCAAATTACTTGTCAAGGTAAGGAAAAGTCGGGGCTCACCTGCATCATGCACTCGGCCACTTGAGGATTGTCCGGGTCTTGGATCTCGGGGCCCGTCACCTTCAGCGGATTGAATTTCACAAATGCATGGCCAGGGGACACTTGTGATGCCTTAGCGGGACAAGAAAGGAGACCCTTGTCGGTATAGGTCTCCTTCAGCAGATCGTCGGGTGTAAGGACCGGATGCCCTCCAGCCACCATGTTGATTGGGGTCGTTGTAGTATTAAACTTCACCTTCTTTGGGTCCCCCCCTTGAGCAGTCGGTGGACACTTATTCAGAATAGAGGACAATAACTTATTTGGAGCCCCCGAATTCTTGTGCTTCTCCGAGCCTTAAGATGGGGCAGACTTCTTTCCTTCATCCAGCTTCTTCCCCCTTTCGGACGAGGCGGCTGTTGCATCAATGATGCCTGCGTGGCTGCTGGGATGGGGCCTCCTCCTCGGGCTTGTCTAAAATACAAAAGCGGATCTTCTCCCCATCAGTAAAAATTTACCTAGAAAATACAAGGGAAAAAGGTGGTTAGGGTCGACGAATCGGAGACCATACCTCTGTTTGAGTTAACTATAGAGTCACTAATGGAGGCAATAAAAAGGTAGTTGTAGGACTCCGTCCACGCCTCCAACTTGTCGAGATCTGGCTTCCACCTTAGCATCTCTGCCTTATCCAGCTCGGACCAAGGGTCGAGGATCTTTTCATGTTCGAGGTCATTGTTCCAGGATGGGAAGTCGGAGAAAGTTGAGTTGACGTAAAAATATTCAACCCTCCAAGCCTTGTAGGCCATTTTCCAAGGCTTCTACGCCTCGCTCCTCGACACCAGCTCTTTCTTCGGACCCTTAGGATTCTGAGTCACGCTATACCAACTCGGGAAGCCTTTGGCCCCTCGAACAAGTTTGTAAAAACACTTAATAAGAACACGTCGGGGACGACCCCAACCTTCTCACACACGATTACCAAGGCTAGCACGGCCGTGATGAAGTTAGGGGTCATCTGAGCCAACAGAAGCTGGTAGGACTTGAGGATCTGGTAACACAAGGGTAGGAGAGGCAGGTGGAGGCCATACTCAAGAAATTTTGCGTAAATGGTCATCTTCCCCTGAGGCGGTGTGTCTGCCCTTTGGTCGCCCTCGGGTAGCGTTGGCTCGAACGCAGTCAGGCTGTACTTCGTCTTCAATGCTTCTAAATCCTCGTCTTGAAGACGAGTCGGAACGTCCCTGACTCTGATTTCTTTATCTATGATCGGTCTATAAAAAGCTACAAAGATATTAAGCTACAAATAAAACAGAAACTAGTACCTTTGACCTCGACTGAGAAAAACACCAAGACTCGCCGGAGAAGGAAGTTTTGCACTAAATATAGGAGAGAAAAGTGGGAGAAAAAGTGAGAAGATTACAAATGAGGCTATCTCCTCCCTTATATAGTACTCTTGAGAAGGCCAAGGGTCGCCTCGATTCAACACATCCATCATGATGATGGTTCGCGAATCGATGCAATCCCAGCCTCTCATTATGATCCTTAGCTTTTTACTTTTCGCGTGTTAAAAGATTGGGGTAAATGTTGAAAACCCTAATCCGTAAATAGGCAGCCCGAAAATGGGCTTCTTATTGAGGTGTTAAGCCCAAAACCACATGGGCTCAACAGGGGCTCTTGATGAAGAAAATTTTGACACAGCCCATTTAAGAGGGTAAATGGGCTTTTAAGGAAACCAGCCCAATGGCCCAATTACACCAAAGGTTTCACATGGGCCCAACATGGAACCCTCTTTTGGACACTTCCTAAATAGTGAACAATATATACCCCAAAACTTTCATTTCAGGGAGTTAATTCACACTATTCACTCTCTCTAGTGTGTATTTGTTTTATTTCTCTCACTAAACTGACTTTGGCATCAGAGTGCTAACTCTTGTCTTGCAGGTCCCCGTCCTAGCTGACCGTTGACTCGTCGCCATCGGAATTTGCCTTCGTCAATAGTCACGAACACTTCACACCAATTTGGACCAAGAATGTGTCCACCAACCGTTTTACTTGGGTTTAAGCTTTGAATGGATCCTTTGGCAACTATTTTTGTAGAATCATTTATACTCTTGAGGTCTACAAATGATCCAACCTGTAAAATAATTAACTTTCTTACATTTCTAAGTATAGCACAAATGTTTTAACGTAAGCGACATGACCATTTATTGAAGCCCATGGATTTCCACCTCAAAACCAATTGGCAATGAGGGGAGTAGCCCATGGTGCTTATACTGATACAAAGTGTCTCCAGACACCAACGTGGGATAAATACTTCAACACTCCCCCTCAAGCCCAACTCAAGGCCAACAGGCTTGAACTAAATCACCAGGACCAGGAAATAAACCGTGGAATAACATCACGGATTAGCAATGAGGGGAGTAGCCCATGGTGCTCATATACTGATATAAAGTGTCTCCAGACACTAATGTGGGATAAATACTTCAACACTCCCCCTCAAGCCCAAGGGGCTTGGACTAAATCACCAGGATCGGGAAATAAACCGTGGAATAATATCACGGGCCATAGAATAACGTCGTGGACTTAAATTGGGCCACAGAATAACATCGTGGGCTTAAAATCACCACAGTCCGAGTCTGCTCTGATACCATATAGAAGCCCATGAATTTCCACCTCAAAACCAATTGCAATGAGAGGAGTAGCCTATGGTGCTTATATACTGATACAAAGTGTCTCCAGACACCAATGTCAGATAAATACTTCAACACCATTTGAAGATTTGGAAATGAAAAGATCAAATTGAAATTTCTTACCGTGAGAGCAAAATTTGTTGTGTGCTTGTTTGGGAGACCAGCGACTTGCATCATATTTTGGTTAGAGTCACTTTGTTGCCCTACTACTAAGAGCTTTGATGTACTTTCAGCTTCCCTTGCCTCAACCGATGGATTGATTTCTTGACTCATTTGCATAGAACCGGGCTGATCTTGCTCTCTTGCTTAGGTGGATGTTGAAAGATTAGATCTTCGGAACCTCCTTGATTTTTGTGTGAAAATTTTACATATCAATAGTTACCTATTACACATGTCAAATTGTCGAAAAAACTAGTTTCGACTTGCATTTTCAATCCGAGTAAAACAATTAGAGTTTCCACTAGATTCAAGAAAGCATGGGCGAAGCAATTCAACACGGCTAGGAGGGCGTCCTGTTTCTTTGGTCTGAAAACATACATTTAATCAGAAAATATATCAGTTAAAAACATAAACTAATCGATAGAAGGAAAATAAAAGTACCATTTTGTGCTTAACTCGGGTAAAAGAAATCTGCCCGGTTCTTTGATCATGCACCTTCTGCGCTCTAGTATTCTTCCTTTTTTTTCTTATTTCCTGAAATTAAAACTCATGGAGAATTAATGCAACACATGAAACTACGTGAGTATTCCTGAAAAACATTGCTTACCTTTGCATCATTCGAGTTCCAATAATCACAAATTTTCATCCCTTCAATTTGAGTAACTCTAAATCTCTTTCATTCTTTAAAGACTCCACAGATGCTTCGTACCAATATTTGGCTTTCAAACGATTTTTCCAAGCTCTCCATTTCTGGCCAACAGAGCTCAAAATCTTTTTCTCCTCAATGGGAGGGACATGGAACCGTAACTGCACCAAATGGCAATATGGTATGTTAAAAAATATTCAAAAGAAAAGATTGAATAATGAAGGCAATATACAAATGTCATTCTTTACCTTCACAATATTTAGAATCTCATCTTTGATCTCAATCTCACGCCAATCTTTCATGCTTATTGGACAATACTGACAATTTCTTGCAATTGAGCCCAAGAAATGACTAGGTTTACTACATTCCCCATCAATTGGTACTCCCTTATCATTATACTCAACATGAAGCCTAGGGAGGTGAGGAGGTCGACCCCAAATATTTTCCATACATGTTGGACCTTGAGTTTCTTTCTCAAAATTTTCAAAATCGCTTTCAGTACCTTAATAAAACACACGAGTTAACAGTTAAATTTTAACCAAACTATGCCAACAACTACTTTTACGTTACCTTGATCTTGTTCTTGTTCATAAATATCAGTCCTAAGAGCATCATTGAGTTCACACTCTTTTCTAGGTCTAAGATTAGCAATAGCATCATCCTTCTGAGTTGGACCTGCAATAGAATCAAATAATTAAACTAAATAATATATCTAGATGCTTAAGCTTTCTGTTCTTGGTAAATAGGAACTGATATTTTTAATATATAGAATAATAAATCTATAGAAAATCTCACATGCAACTAAAATTACAAAATATACCAAGCTTATGATGGTCATGAGTCACTCCACTACGAGTGACATGCTTGAATGCATCCACTGTAAACCCCAGTACCCACTTGAGTTCTAGTTGTTACCCTCAGAAATGAGAAAATCTCACACGCAACTAAAATTACAAAATATACCAAGATTATGATGGTCATGAGTCACTCCACTATGAGGTTGACGTGCTTGAATGCATCCACTGTAAACCCGAGTACCCACTTGAATTCTAGTTGTTACCCCTGGAAATGGGAAAATCTCACATGCAACTAAAATTACAAAATATACCAAGGTTATGATGGTCATGAGTCACTCCACTACGAGGTTGACGTGCTTGAATGCATCCACTATAAACCCGAGTACCCACTTGAGTTCAAGTTGTTACCCCTGAAAGGTACTACACCGCTTGAAAAAAAAAATTTAAAACTCCAAAGTGCTTGAGACAATACAACCAGTAGAGTATATACACTTTTGATAATCATAACACATCAATTTCAATTGTCTCAAAATAGTCAATCTATGTTATAACTTATTTTATGTTACCTTGTTGTTCTTGTACATAAACACCAAGCATGGGATTGAATAGTGACTTTTCCACAGGTCAAAGATTGGCATGGGAAGGACCTTTTTGAGTCAAACCTATAATATTTGAAGAAATTAGAGGTGAAATGTAGTAAATACTACAACACAATATGAATTAAGTACAAGATATTGATTTATTGCATTTTTTTACAACTTATTGATCATGTTTATGATCACTGAGATATCCAAAAACAAATAAGAATGAAAGTGCAGTAAACCATAATGCAACTAAAAAGGGGGAAAAAAATTAAAACTGGACTCACAAGTTTTATACATATACAACTCTATTTATACACCCCTAAAAATCCTACACTACATATGAGATAAACTACACTACGATAATAGAAGAGTTTAACCAAGTTGACATATGAAAATATTTACATAATATTATGTTACCAATGTTACTTTGGTTTGATACTTGAGAATTGTCATTAGCACCGTTTGAAAGACTTTTTGTTTGAATTATTCTATGTGGTTCAAAGATGCTATCATATTCGGTCTCTAAGAGCGGCTCATCTTGAAGATTAACATCACATTGCTTTCATTTTCGCCCTTTGCCAGCCATACCTACAAAAGAAAAGAGTAAACAAATTATTTTCAAAAGAACACTGCATCCAAATGTTTGACTTAACAAAATGTTAAATATATATTAAAGAACTGAGAAAGTGGACAACAAAAATAAGGGATTCCATGCTTTTGTTCCTAAAAATATGAACTCAAGGCACAATAAGGTTTCATTAGAGCAAATAATCAAACACATGCAGTGCTAAACCAAAAGGGTCAATTGCTAAAGGATACTTGGCTGAAGAATGTTTGACATTTTGCTCGTTGTATCTAGCCGATTATGTGGAATCAAAGTTCAATCAAACAACTAGAAATGAGGATGAAAATGTGAACAACACATTCGAATGTGATGTTTTCAATTTGAGGGGGAGAGCTCGAGGACAAGGGAAAGTGGCAAAGTTTGATTCCGATACATTGAGAAGGGCTCATCAATATATCTTCTTCAATTATGATTTTGTCAAACCATACATTATGTAAGTTTTTTTCCCTTTGAACACACAATAGAATAGGTAGTTCATTCCATACATTGGTTATTGTTATCTGTATTTTCTTCCCCTCAATTTAAAAAATGCTACACTTTTCAGGAAACACCGAGCAATAGTTGAACAAAACTACCCTCATGTAGCACGTCTCCGGGAGAAAAAAAGGATTGAAGAAGTTCATAGTAAAACTTTTGCGAACTGGTTTGCCAAACATGTAAGTTGTCGTACTTATATTAAGTAGTTGATATGGTTAGTGATTATGCTACATTCTTAGAAACATGATTTTCAACAAGTTGATGAACTGCAAAATGATACTTCAATAACAAAGGACTTGAGATCACTTGCTGGAGGCCTAAGTTTAATTGGATTAAAATATGACAAGTTTTGTTGTGAATGATTTTCGATTTCACACTAAGGATTTAGAAAGCAGTAGAAAAAACACAAAATAGCGGGATATGTGTGAGAGCTATTACATCTAGTTTTTCAAGTCCAAGGGACCAAAATCCCATCTCGAGTGCGTTAGATAATTATGGAGTTCTAAAAGATATTATTGAGCTCCATTATGGAGGTGGGCGTAAGGTCTTTTTATTTGAATGTGATTGGGTGTCAAAAGGGTCACGATTAAAACAAGATGCAGATAGGTCTACATTGACTATTTCTCAAATGTGAGGCGCCACAGTGACCTGTTCATTTTAGCATATCAAGCTCAACAAGTGTTTTATGTTGAAGATCCAAAAGAAAAACACTGGAAAGTAGTTGTGCACACCACTGCTAGAGGAACTTATGACATGGAGCCTATGGCTTATGTTGAAACATATCTACAGAGCAATATTTGTAGGCCTATGGCTCTTACTGACGGTGATGAAGTCAGTTGGGTATGCACAGATGTTGAAGGAATTGAAATCGAAATTAAGAAAAAGAAACGTTCAAAAAAGCGTGCACGACATTAGCATGTTCTGCTTCTTCAATATTGCATAAGGTACTTTTTACTATTGGTTTTTTTTCCTTTTGTGAGGTCTCATATTTTATATACTTTTATTATATCATATTTTAATAATTAATCTTGTTATTGGGTGTTGGAGTATATGTAATGTGGTTTTTATTCTGTTGATTAGAATATACCTTTTTTAATTGTGTAATGTGTTGCATTGAAATTAAACTTAAAAAGTGCCAAAATGAAATCCTTCCGATGCTTGAATCTCCAACTTTCTGTGTTTGTTTTTGCTAAGCTTTTTTTTTTTACTTAATTTTATTCCTTGTTTAATGTGGGTTGTGGTGGTCATTTTAGTTGTTCAATTGGTTTAGTGATAGCCTCAAAAGAAAGTCTATATGCACATGACTTTGTTTCTGAATTTTTCGAGAATGCTTAGTCTGAGTAGATGTTTGCAGAGCCTCCTTCTCCCAGTTTTGAAAATGTAGCAATATTTTAATTTATACCTTCTCCATTCAATAGAGTTTACTCTGATTTGTACGGTTTATCAAACGGACTAATGTTTTGCTCAGGAATTGGATTTGAATATGACCATTCGTTACAAATAGACTGAATTTTAGAAAAATCTGGTGTCAGACACTGTTTTGAAAATCTAATTTCTTCTGCTTAATTGATAGTTTTTTTTTTTCCTTTTTTTCATTAAATCCCATCTTCGTTTAACCTAGTTATAATAGGTTTGACAGCTTCCAAATCAGGTATTTGATTGACGGGAAATCACCACTATTTTTTCTGAAATTTCATAATTGAGTTACTGATTTGTAGATTTATATTCCTCTTTGATTGAACACTCTTACCTTATTAGATTCTCGCACTTCAATGTTGTCGAGCAACTTATATGATGTTGAGCTACAGAGACCCCATCGATGCAGTGAAGCCCTTCAATCAGGAGAGCAAGTCATATGATGTCGAGCTATAGCGACCACATCGATGCAGTGTTTTTCTCTTTATAGATAGAGAATTTTGATGCAACAATTATTTGTTTGTCTTTGATTTTTTTCTAATTACATTGGCACCGTTCACAAGCCACATTGCTTGGAAAATTGGAATAAAAAATAGTGTAATTTGTAACTTGTGTTAAAGTTATAATCCTAACTTTTTATTTTCTCTGTTATGCTTTCCTTAAAAATTTTTAATATTGAATTTCAGTCGTATGGCAGTTTGTGAATCACATAATTATTTCAAGCCATATTCACTCTATATAGGTTCATTTCGGTTTGTCCCTGTACATATATGGGTTTAATGGTTTATGTTAATCATATTGTTTAAGCCAAAATCATAGCACTTTTTCTAAACAAATTTATTAGTATTTTTCGATGTCTTTATAAAAAATCTTTGTAAAATAAATGAAAAATACAAGCCAATAACTTGCTTGGATTTGAAAAGTGCCTCTATATGACATTCTATTATCACACATTTCTTAAAGTGTCTTAATAAACTTCGTAGAAGTGTAACGATAAAATTGTGTCCCAATATTATATGTTTTGCGACACACAAATTTTTGTGTCTCAACATAAGTGTAGCAATATGGGAGTTCCTCTAGTAGTGGTTATTGGTAAAGTTTATGAGGTAAAAAAATAAAAGGGCAAACAATGTTTTTTTTTAATAAAAAATGGAATTCATTAAGCTGCTGGAAAACCGCCCAACACGGATTGAGGTACAAAGTCAGGGATGGTATCCCAATATTTTTCAATGTTACGTTTAGCTTTGGCATATTGAGCTAAACAGTAGGATATAACATTGAACTTTCGGCTAATCCATTTACATTCAAATTAGACATGTGCTTGGAATAAAAAGAATATTATTTTGATTTAATAAAGTTAGTTATTTCACGAAAACGGAAAGACTATAAAAATCGTTAACAATTGCATGCTCCTCTCCATCTCTAATACTTTTGGAGGGGAAAAATTGGCGCTCATACCCAATACTTTGGGCCTATCGTCAATTCTACCCTATTGATTTTTGGTTATCCAATTTTGTTCTTATTGTTTAAAATTTTTGTCAATTCCGCTCAATTGGCCCAATTTCCGTTAATTTTAATGGATTTCCATTAGTTTTTAATCAAAAACACCGCGATAGTTTCAAAAATTGAAAAAATAACCCTAAAAATGTAAAAATAAAAAAATAATCCCTTTTTATTCCTTTTTTTTAATTTCATTTATGTCTTTTTATTACTTTTCATAACCATCAAAATATACTATATGATATTTAAGAAAATAATTATTTATTTTTAAAATTTATTTTTCATGTGCAACACATGTCATTTGGGTTGAGGGGTAATTTTGTCATTTTAAATTTTTTAATTTTTTAATTTATTTTTTTATTCGTCTTTTTTTGATATTCTTTTACTTATAATTCCTGACTTGTATACATTGATACTAGCATAATTATTAAGTTTTAATAATTAATTTACCGTTTTATTTCACAGATTATAAAAACTTTAACATAAAGAAAATGAGAAAGAAAAACTTAAGTTGAAATAAACATGAAAATTAATAGTTTATCATTCTAAACAAAAAGTAAAAAAATCTTAAAAAAACTACAAAGGCAACTCTTTTCTCCTTAACTTCCTCTATTTCATAGATAAGTTAACATAAATTTTACTTTATCTAGCCTAAAATGATTATTTTGTTCTTTGTATAAAAATAATACAAGTCAGGTAGTATAATTAGTAATTATTTTGCAAAAAAACACACGTACTTATTTTTTTCATGAAATTCAATAATTGCTTATGTAGTTTAGCAACCGCCAATCGGGAAAAAAAATTATTAAAAAAGAGTAAAATATTGTTAACCAAATTTACAGAAATGCATCGTTGTGGACTAATTAAAAGTAGCACATTTTTATGTTTCAAGTGATTGTCTAACTTTTATATTATTTTTATTATAACGAACAAAATAATTATTTTATGCTAGATCAAGTAAAATTTATGTTTCGTAACTCAACTATGAATTAGAGAAAGTCAATGAGGAAAGACTTGTTTTTGCAGATTTTTTTTTAAAAGATTTTCTCTATTTTTGTTTAGAATGATAAATTATTAATTTTCATGTTTATTTCAACTTGATTTTTTCTTCCTCATTTTCTTTATGTTAATTTTTTTATAATCTATGAAATAAAAAAGTAAATTAATTATTGAAATTTAATAATTACACTAGTATCAATGTATACAAATCAGGAAATATAAGAAAAATAATCTTAAAAAATAACGAATTAAAAAAATTAAAAAATTTTAAAATTTAAAATGACAAAATTACCCTCAAGCCAAATCACATGTGTTGCACATGAAACATAAAATTTGAAAATAAATAATTATTTTTTTAAAGATCATATTACTTGATAGTTATGAAAAGTAACAAAGAGAAATAAAATGAAATAGAAAAAAATGAATAAAAAAGGACTATTTTATTAATTTTATATATTTTTTGGTTATTTTTATAAGTTTCTAAAACCATCGGGGTGTTTTTAGTTAAAAACTAACAGAAATCCGTTAAATTTAACGGAAATTGAACCAATTAGACGGAATTCACAAAAATTTCAAACAGTAAGCACAAAATTGACAAACTTAAAATTAATAGGGTAAAATTGACGATGAGTCCAAAACTTTAAGTATGAACGCTAATTTTTTCCTTTTGGAGGCAATCACTACTACACCTTCTAATTTTAGTTTCTTAAAAAAAAAAATTGATTTTCAATCACCAACTATAATAATATAATCAAGCAAAACTGGAAAGAATTGTACAAAAAAATATATATAATTAAGAGATAATTTCTTTCTGTTGTTTACCCTCTTCAAAAACTTGGATCAAAATAGGATCTACATTTTCCTCAGGCTCCCAAGTGGCCTCATCTATATCCGTCCATTTAACTAAGTACTCTTTCTTACCCTCTAGTTCCTTGGAATCAAGGATACACTCGGCCACACCGTATTCCAACCCAGCTTCAAAATCCTTAACTAAATCCTCAGCCACAAATCCGGCTTTAACCCACTCGTTATCTCCACCGTCCTTCCATTTGATCAGATACTCCAGCTTATCACCTTTCCCTCTCCTCTCCATAATCTCCTGCACCTCCGCGTACTCGAATATTTCCCCTTCTAGTATGTTAATTACACTTTCGAGCCCCAATCTCTTCACGAATTGCATTTTCGGCGTCACTTTCAGAATATCCCGCGCCAATTCCAACGGCGTCCGGCCCCGGTCGTCTTCCACTTCCGGGTCTGCGCCGGATTCAACTAACACCTTCACGACGCCCGGCCGGACGTAACCTGCCGCCATGTGCAGCGCGGTTAAGCCGCCGCTTTTGTCTCTGTAATCCAAGTCGGCTCCGGCTTCGGCTAAGATCCTCACGCACGGCTCCGACCCGAGACCCGCCACGAACAGCAAGGCCGTCCGGCCGTCGTCGTCCACCGCGTTCACGTCCCGCCCGTAATCTCCGTCGATGAGCTCCTTTAGAGCCGACTCGTCCGCTTTACGCGCCGCCATCCACCACGGGGTCTCGTACTCCGCAATGACGTCATCGGCGATGTATTCCGACGGGACCCACGTGGGGGCATGGTCATCTTTCCACTCGATTAGGTACTCCATCCGGACTCGGGTTCCATCTCCATCATCATCCGGGTCGGACGCTTTCCTGCTGGCCAGAATTTTGCTGACTTCACCGTAGGATTCATCTTGGTTGTAATCCTCGAATTGAGTTTCTGCTTCGACGATTTCCGATTGCTTTTCTTCTTGGTTTTGCAGAGTGGCTGAGATTAAAACCGGGAATTGAACGGTTTTGGAATTGACAACTGTGGAGGGTTTGAAGAGTGATTGAGAAGAGAAAGTATAGGTGGTGAGTTTTGAGGGGAGTTTGAGAGAAGAAATGGGAGGATTTAACAAGATGGAATCCATTGCCGGTTGGGTTTTGAGTAACTAACCCAACGGAGGTTGCTGTAAATTTCTTCTGGTGGAGTATGAATGTTTCTGTTGTGTGAGTGTGTGTTGAAATTGAGAAGGGAAGAGAGTGAGGAAATCTAAGAGGAAAGGACATTATTTGGATTTGTCTGGATAAGAAAGCCAATCCACAAGGACCATTATTTTTTTGCAGTATGCCATGGGAAATTGGAAATAAAACTACTGAGAGTAAAGAACATACTGGCGGCAATCGTATTATTTGTGGCTCAAATCATCTGTTTCGAAAATCATTTTGTTGTTTCCTTAACTAGATAGTCCCGTGTAATCACGGCTTCCCATTAATTTTTTTTATGTGTACAATCCGCGATATTGATAAAAGTAATGGATTTAAATAATAAAAGTAAAAAAATATATAATTTTTGCTTAATGAGCAATATTATGAGTATATATACCATTATTTGTTATTTAATGTTAAAAATTAATACAAATTATTTGTTAGATCTTTATTGTTATATGATGGATAAGAGGAGAAAAAAACGCGGAGAGGAATTAGGATTGGAAGAGAAAGAGCTAAAGCCTAAAAAAAAATATATGTTGTGTAAAAGATTTTTTAAACACACATTTTTATATAAAACATGGGAATCGATACGATACATTAAAAGATAATGTTGCATTTCTTGTTCAACTAAAAAAAAGGGGTTAAAAAAAACACTAAGGACAAAAGAAAAAGTATGGTACATCAGCAATCCAATCCAAATTAATGAGGTAATAAAAAAATAAAATTAATTCTAAATTACCAGAAAATGACACGTCAGATAGATGGGGTAAAATGAACGGGAAAAGGGTATAATGGGATTTTCAAAAGAATTTTGTATTAATAGATAGAATGATTATAAGTTTATTTTTTATCTTTTTCTTATAAGCAGGAGTTTAAGTGTATTGATCAAATTATGTTACAAACTAACAATTCTAAGAGTAACTCCGACGCCCTTATGAGTTATGTCAATTCTTCCCATTTTGTTACAAGTTCATAACTACACTCAATTCACATTCTTCATTTTTTGCACAATGATAAAACCCCCAAAACTGGACCCTCAGACCCATGACCCATCACTTTTAATCCTTACACATCATTTATTTTTTTTTTATTCTTTTTATTTTCTCAACTTAGAATTTAAATATAAAATTAATTAAAACTAAAATAAAACATTAAAAAAATGGAGGTAAAAACTGTAATGAAAAAGTTACATAAAATGAAATATATAACAATGCATTGTTTATTTTTTTTCATTTAATTATCAAAAAAATATCATAAGTTAAAGTTTCGTCCTTACTATATATCTCAAGTCCAAATCGTCCTTATTAAATGCCATAAGTTGTATTTTTGTTTTTTTTTTTGTGCTTTTCCGTCCAAATACTGTTAAAATTGTGATGGTCAACATGTCAATTGTTGAATTGTCAAAAGGGTATTTTTGTTTTTTAAATAAAAGTAACTAAAAAAACCAAGAAAAATTATTTTTATTTTTACATCACTTTTTCTATTTTTTCCCTCTCAATTTTATTCATTTATTTTATTTTTATTTTTGTGATAAAAATAAAATCAATGTGCTTAAAATTTAATGTTTCTTTATTGAAATAAAAATTTAAGGCTTTTACTTTATTTTTATATTATCATAATCATTATTATTATTATTATTATTATTATCTCTCTCTTTTTTTGGGAAAAAAATGTTCACTTACAGTACAAAAATTTGCATTATTTAAAGGGGTAATACACAAGAACTCCCTCATGTTTTGAGAAACCACACGAAAACCCCCCATGATTTAGAAACTACACGAGAACCCCCTCATGGTTTGCCCAAACGTATAAACTGGACGGAAAAGATTGACCCTAACAGATTCAGATGACATGACTACTTTATCCCTTCTTAAATGACATTTACATAGAACCCTTGCCTATTTTTTTCTTTCTCCCTATCCATCTCATTTTTCTCCCTCTCCACCCTCCACCACCCATGAAAAGCCACCCACCCCCACCATCGGCCATGGTCAGATCTGGCTTAGTCGTTGCTCCACAATCCTTGGACAACTACTCAACTAGCCCGGCCGCCACCTTTGAAGAATATCCAAAGCTCTGATATCAACATCATCAACATCTTCTTTTTTTCTTTTTTCTTTCTCCGTTGGCCGCCGACCCCATGGCCATTTTTTTCCCTTTGATCAGGCTTAAGCGAAAATCTTTGGGGGTGGGATTTCAGTTTAAATCGGATTCGGTGAGGTGATTTTTCAATTTGGATTTAAGCCTTCGTCGTTCTTATTTTCGGTTTGGATATATGGTGACCCATAGATGTTGGTAAAAGATTTATTTAATTTTTACAGATTTACTTTATACATGATAGATTTTGATTGAATTTGGTTGTTCTAAAATCAGTATTATTGAAGAAATAATTTTTTTTAGAAAAAAAATAAACACAAATAATTACAAGAAAAGAAATTATTTTTTGAATTTACCAAAGAAAATATTTTATCCGAGACCAAAGAAAGAGATAATAGAGAATCTTTTAAAAAATAAAAGATAAGAACAAAAGAATAAAAAGCATGAAATTTTTTTTAAAATTAAAAAAGGTAGGAAATAAGGTAACATGATGGGTAGTTTTTTGGTATTCAGAAGTGTGAACCCAAAAAAGAGAAATTCGCCTTCCGCGCGCGTGATCTACCAACAACCGTTAATGTTAATGTTTTCCGTCACTTTACACGTTTGGACAAACCATGGGGGGTTCTCGTGTAGTTTCTAAACCATGGGAGGTTTTCATGTGGTTTCTGAAAGCATGTGGGGGTTCTTGTGTATTACCCCTTATTTAAAATGTCCCTTAATCTGCAATGAAATTGGTACAGTATCTATACAGCTTGGAACTGTGTTTAGTTCAATTTGAATACAATGAAAACTTAATCAAATTGCAGTTCACAAAAGCAAGTAATTTCAATTTCTCTACCGCTATTCCATATCACAGAGCTGACAAAATCGGAAAAAAATTTAACAAGAATTTGTATAATCTTATATTTGCTATGTCAAACTGCTCGACCATTTGATTCAAACTAGTAAATAAACAAACCAATCAAAGATCTTTCCAAACTGGTAAAGATGCCATTTTTTTTTTTTCAGTCAATCGAAAACAATTGCACCAAAACTAATCCAGAAGCGAGTCAAAACATCAAACACTTTATACTGTTATAAGATTCAAAGATCCAAGGATCGATGAGAAAAACAACAAAAACTCAATTCATCCAATAATTAAAGGACTCACAGAATCCGTCACCACCAAATCCCATTTTGACAAATTATAAAAAAAAAATCTTCAATCACAAAAAAAATCACAACTCAAACCGGACGACAAACACCGATATGAATTCGCAGCCCTCGGCCTTTTCAATGACAATCGAAATCGGGCACTGGTATGAAGAATCGGGCAAAACTCGACATCAGAGAGCGGCTGAGAGGGGAAGTATCTCTTTGGGATTTCGATTGAGAGATGATGAAGAAGACAGATGCAGTGGTGGTGGTGTGTACTGGGGGAACGATGAAGAAGGGAGGGGAGGAAGAGAGAAGGGGTTCGCGGGATGGTGGGTGGAGGTGTGTGCTGGGAACGATGAATAAGGAACGGGATGAAGAGGGACGGGGCGGCGGGATGGTGGTGGGTACCGGAGAAGAAGGAAGGGGAGGAAGAGAGAGGAAGCAGCGGCGGGAGAGGAGGGGGCGGAGAGATGTAGAGACCGGATGATGGTGGGTACGGGGAAGAAGGAAGGGGAGGAAGAGAGGGGGGCGGCGGCCGGGGCGGATGAATTTTTTTTTTTGGGATGGGAATGTTAGGTTAATTAGTATTTAAATTCAGCAAGGTAAAAAAAAAAAACTATCCATGGTTTTTTTTGTTTTAATTATTTTTTTTAAAAGACTAAATACCCTTTTGACAACAATTAATTAGTTGACCGTCACAAATTTAACAGTACATGGACGAAAAAGCAGAAAAGAACAAATATACAACTTATGGTATTTAATAAAGACGATTTGAACTTGAGATATATAATAAGGACAGAACCCTAACTTATGGTAATTTTTTGATAATTAAATGTTTTTTTCCCGTAAATCAAACTACAAAAACCACAATAAAATAACGTAAATTTAAAACCACGAGACATCAAAACTAAATAACAAATCATATTAATTTCCATTTTAATTTTTTCCGAACCGTTGCCATGAGAAATTCTTGATGGACATCATAGCATAAGTTCTGCATTTTGTTAAAAAGAAGCTCCAAAATCGTTATGTACGTCTTATGTCAAATTAATTATAGGATTTGCATCATCACAACCCGCAATCTACTCCCTTCAGTCTTTAATATAAAACATTTTGATATGTCTTAAGTTTTTCCTAATATATATTTTTAATCGAAATAAAATTTTAAAAATATATTTTCATATTTGTTGTGTTTCGAACGAAAATTTATTTTTATCTTTTTGTTATAAGTAGGAGTGTAAGTGTATTGATCTATTGTGTTACAAACTTACAATTCTAAGAGCACCTCCAATGCCCTTTGAGTTCTTTTTTTTTTTTTGGAAATTCACTCATATTATATAAATCATACATCAGTACATAGTGTACATAATGATACAGTGGCTGTTGCAAGCCTATGCATGTTTTTTACCAATTCTCTATTCACCTTCACTAAAACTAATCTATCCAACCCACTAGCAGTATCTCTAATATCCTGAAGAAGATGAACCAAACTAGTAGGTATTGCTTTCCGTTGGTAGAACATTTGAACCAGATTGTAGCAATCTGTCTGCAATATACATCCCTTGAGCTGTCTTTGATGCGCCTCTTGTAACCCCTTGAGACATGCCAGGCTTCTACTTGCAATGCAGACAGTGCGTGAAAACAATCTCTACCGTACGTAACCAACTTACCGTCACTGCTACGGATGAGCTCCCAAGCTGCTGCACCCCACTTGTCAGCTTCTCTGAATGCGTCATCAGTTCTTATGGTATATTTGGTTGTGAACCTTCTTCTTCAAACAGTGTGCATTCCTGCTAACGTTCAACTTGGTGGAGAAGTTTCAGCATGATCTGTCAAAAAGCTGCCATTCCTTGACTGCAAGTGAGACTGTCAATGTTGGCTGCTACTCCTGGTTGTTCCAAATACAGTCATTACGCGCCTTCCAAATTACCCAAGTGGTAAAGAAGACCTGCTGAATTACCTCTGCTGAAGTGCTGTTAATAACAAACGCTCCTTCCATTCTTCAAAAGTAGAATTTGCTGTAATATTCAAGTCAAAAGAGGAAGCTTGTAAAACCTTTTTTGCCTCATCACAGTGGAGAAACAAGTGGTGGATG